GTCCTGCAGATTTGCTTTATTCAACATCAAGAAGATCAGGCCCTTTCTTTGGGAACATGCTTCACAACTCCTTGTTCAAGCTCTTGTTCTGTCCAGGCTGGACTATTGCAATGCTCTCTTGGCAGGTCTTGCAGCCAGTTCTATCAAACCTTTGAAATGACTCCAGAACGCAGCAGCAAGATACATTTTTAATGAGCCGAAAAGAATGCACGTCACACCTCTGTTTATCAGTTTGCACTGGCTACCAGTAGCTGCTCGCATAAAATTCAAGGCAATGATGTTTGCCTACAAAACCACCACTGGCTCTGCACCCATTTACCTAAATTCATTACTTCAGACTTATGTGCCTCTAGAAGCTTGCGTTCTGCAAGTGAACGGCGCTTTATTGTTCATCCCAAAGAGGCACAAAATCACTTTCACTGACTTTTACATTAAATGTTCCCTCCTGGTGGAATGACCTGCCCAACTCAATCCAAGCAGCTGAGTCCTTAGCCACCTTCAAGAATCGGCTAAAAACACATCTCTTCCATCTTTATTTGACCCTCTAACTCTAGCACTCTCTATTCTAATTCTATTCTTTAAAAAAAAAAAAAAACTAACACTAGCTTCTCTATTCTTTGTTGATTCTCTATATTTGTTTTCTTTTTATTTATTATACAATTAACAAAAAGCAAAAAAGGCCTATAACACTAGCTTGCTCTATTCTTTTTCTATTGGTTTACTTTTTATTTATTATATAATAAAAAAAACTTGCTATGTGTACGGTGTTAAGCTAAGTGAGACTTGTCATAGCACTTGCATATTCTTGCTCTTTTGATGATTTTGATTACTTCATTTGTAAGTCACTTTGGATAAAAGAGTCTACTAAATGTAAATGTATAACGTTGTTAATACCTCCAAGGTGACATGACAGCCAGTGTAGTCAACAACCAACACATTATTGCCATGGTCTTGCGTCAGAGAGTATCCACAGGCCGCTGGGGCCCCAAGCACAGACTCAATCACTGAAGCACCTGTAAATAATTACACATTTTACCAACAGAAACTGAAATGTTAATTAAATACGCATGTATGAAAACACAAACTGCTGAACATACTAGTACTTACCCAAAACCTTAACCTGACTGAGAGAGCCAGCTGGCAAAATCACTTTCATAGTATCATTGTTACAGTACACTGCCAGCTTTGATTTCATCAGCTGTCCACTGTCTTGAGTAGACACTTCTGAGTGATCAGCTTCACCATCAGAATAATCATCATTATCATTATCATCTATGATTGAAGAAGGATCTAAAGTAGAGATCGGCTTGGCACTCTGTGACAGAACCAACTCAATGCAACACAAAACCAGAATTAACGTGTTCACTCCCTGCCGAGCCATGTGTGCCTACAACTCAGCAGAGCACGGATCGAGAATAAAGAGCAGCGCTGCAGAAACCAGATCATTAAAGTGTCGGAGGGAACTTCATTCATAACACCTGTCTCCAGCAGTTTGGGCGTGATTACCTCACGCTGAATGTTAATTAGGTCACGTGACAAAAAGCCAGCGCCTTTGAAAAAACGCCCGACTTCATTAGAACTGTCCGCAGTCGCCTGTATGACGAAGAAGAAGAAGAAGAAGAAGAAGAAATGAATTTGCAGAACTGAAGTATTCAACTACGTCTCAAATGCTGTTCGCCACCTGCTTCACACAAATAATTAGGCTATACTTTATGGATGTCTTAGAGAAAACATATAGAGAACATATTATGGAAATAATCAACATAATATAACAACAACACAAAAAGAACACTTAAATATACCAAAACTAACTTTTTTTGTTTTAATATGTGCCATTTTGAGCAATTGTGTTTCCAAAATATTTTCTAGCCTACAAATTATTCGTATTAATTATGCGCTCTACTTAGCACTGTACTTAGAATCAACCCCTTGGTGAATTATGTAAAACTATGTATGAGCCTCTTTCATTTTAAGACTTAAAAGAATTTGTACTTTATTTATTTATCCGTCCTTTCTCGCAACCCCCTTAAATGGTTAAAGAAAGTTTTTGATTATTGTTTGTTGTTTAGTGTGTGTAGGCATATATACACGGACATTTATGTATGACGATTTAATTTGAAGAAAAGTGTGTATATTTTCATATGCATATTATTGTTCCCCACTTGAGTTTGTAAATTGAGTGTTAAATAAAAACTAAAGAAAGAAGTGAATTGTGCGCGCTATGATATGCGCCTGTGCAGTAAGCGGCGCTGTTTCTCGCAGCCACTCATAGATCACTGAGAAACACTGAAGAAACACATTACTATGGCGTCTTGGGAACACAACTCTTCGCGTTAATAGAAACTGTGATTTCTATCGTATTATTCATTCAGACGTTCAAACCGGTGAGTGATAATGCAGGAGATTATAAAATTGCCTCTTTCAGTGGGACTATAATGACCAAAGACTAACATTGAGCTCGATATTAAATTGGAACATTACTGACAACAATATTACTATCGTTAATAATCATCGGTGACTAAAACGTAATGAAATAATATGTTTGCAATGAAAAGCTAATAAAAAGTTGAACCAGTACATCACAGATGTTCACCGTGTGCCAAATCCTTGTGAGCTGCCTACCTAGACAGCATTTTCAAGCATCATATATACATTCCACACTCAAAACAATAACACTTTAGGCATCGGCTCGCTATATTTCGAGGCAGAGCTATTAGGCTTTATCAGTGTTGGGGAGTAACTAGTTACATGTAACAGAATTACGTAATTTAATAACAACATAAATGTAATTGTAATCAGTTACAGTTAATGAGAATTAAAAAAAAAATTAAATTACACTTAGCCTACTTATGAAAATGTTAAGGATTACAATGGTAAGGATTATCTGAATATTTTCACACCCACATACAGGTTTAATTGATTTCTTTCATAAATCGCAGTGACTGCTCCAAAATATGAGACACCAATGCTTATTCGATAACGGTTTTATTTCCTACTTGGGTTTATGTATATGGTTTATTTTTTTAAGATTAACTTTTTTTTTCCAAGGTTAAAAAATGCCCGTGTTTCCTGTCGTAGCTATGCAAAGATTTGATTTCAAAAACAGTATCATAGCTATTAAACTATATCTTGTGATTTTAAATCTGTATTTAACCTCAGAATGATCTCAAAGTAAAAAGAGGTGCTAAAGTCTGATTTTAAAACTGTGCTTTAAAATTAAATTATTATAATCTTAATTCAAGTGGTGAAGGCTTTGAAAGTGACAGTAATCAGTGTTGAGTACTACTGTAAAGTTACCCTGCCTGCTTTACATGTTTCAAAATGATTAACAGTTGAAAACATTAGAATTTTAGAAAAGTAATCAAATATAATCAGTTACATTACTTTAAGTAATTGAAATAGTTACACTACTTATTGCATTTTATATAGTGTAACTTGAAATCTGTAACCTATCACATTTCCAGAGTAATCTTCCCAGCGCTGCGCTGTGTGCTGATGTTTTCTGCAGGTCAGTATGAGCGCTGAAGCTGCAGACTGCGAGGCGGTGAGCGGCAGTCGACCCTGCACCCCGCCTCAGGCCTCCTGGTTCGAGTTTCTGCTGGATCAATCACTACTGGAGCAGCACCTGCAGGGCCCTCATCCAGGTATCTGTCTTGTGCCCTGGAGTCACCATCCAGTGCACCAAGCCGTACCCTGATTTCTATTGTAGTTCGACTGACAGATACATTGCCAAAACAATGGCACAAAACACAGTGTTAGAGCTCTTTCATGTTATTATGAGAACTGTAAAATATTTCCCAGTCAGTTTATGAAATGTGACGGGACACATAAATAAACTAAATGTCAGGAAAACAAACAAATCCTCTTACATTGCTTGAAGGTGATTGCATATTATCATGACTTATATGTCACCCTGGCCCACAAAATTACATCATCTGAAGCTGAATAAATAAGCTCTCCGTTGATGTATGGTTAGGATAGGACAATATTTGGCCGAGATACAACTATTTGAAAATCTGGAGTCTGAGGGTGCAAAAAAATCTAAATATTGAGAAAATCGCCTTTAAAGTTGTCCAAATGAAGTTCTTAGCAATGCATATTACTAATCAAAAATTAAGTTTAGATATATTTACGGTAGGAAATGTACTAAATATCTTCATGGAACATGATCTTTACTTAATATCCTAATGATTTTTGGCATAAAAGAAAAATCTATAATTTTGACCCATACAATGTATTGTTGGCTATTGCTACAAATATACGTGTGCTACTTATGACTGCTTTTGTGCACCAGGGTCACATATTGACTGAAGTAAATATAAGTATTTTTCTAAGGCTGAGGTTATGCCAGAGGACTGTCCTTGTAATAAGTGTGCTGTATATAATTTTAAGTTCAACTTGGTAACATGTCTTCATAATTTCTGCTTTGATAAAATCTAAATGTGCTGATTTGCTGGGATATGTGTCACATTACAGAAGTAAAATCGGCTGCAAATGCTTTTCCATGAGTTCTTAGTTTCCTGAGATAAGCTTCAGAATGAAGTTTTAAATGTTTTCCACAGATCCGTCTCCCGTTCCGCTCATCGTTCAGTTTCTGGAGCAAGCCTCCAAACCGTCTGTGAATGAGCAGAACCAGGTTCAGCCGCCAGCGGACAACCGGAGGAACCGCACACTGAAGCTGATGGCTCTCAAGGCTGCTGCACACCTGACCTGGGATCTGAACCTGCTAGAGAAAGGGTGAGCGATGATAAAACATTGATATTAATACTCATATAATACTGATTTTCTCTGTTACCTGAAATACATTTTATTTTTATTAGCAACCACCCAGATTACCCAGACCTGCCAACCTGTATGCATTTTGCGTAGCGGCTACGCATTTTGAACTCAAAGTACGCTGGTTTAAATTAATCTCCGTGTGTTTTATTTTTTTATTTAAATTTCTCCATGAAAAAAGGCTATGTCGATTAGCAATGGATTATAAATATACTTAACTATTATGAAAATTCCCAAGGTGGTTTTAAGAACACAGATAAGCTGACCCATCGTCACAGTCTAGTGTTTATATCTTGTTTTCTTCAGTTATAAGGATAGCTGAAACAAAGGGGATCTTTTTTTTAATTATTAATTCAAACAAAGTTAACATCAAGTTTCAACATATATGCACAGAGGATGTTCACATTATAACATGAGAAGAAAAAAACAACAACAACCTGAAGACATATTCAAAGAATACATGAAATTTGAGATACATAGCGGGGACATTACTTCACAAGAAATTTCTCCATGAAATTTAACAAAATTCTATTCTTTTTGTTATTAATTAACACTGAGGACTTTTTTAACGATTCCATCTCTATTAAGAATAATTCACATTTGGGTATACGGTTTGCAAATTTTAGTTTATGGGTGTAATATTTACCGTGCAAAAAAATGTACCTTTGTTCATATTAGAGATTTCGGTAACACTTTATTTTAGGGTCTCTTAACTAGTGAAAGTGACGTGACATGTGGCCAAGTATGGTGACCCATACTTGGAATTAATGCTCTGCATTTATCCCATCCAAAGTGCACACACACAGCAGTGAACACACACACCGTGAACACACACCCGGAGCAGTGGGCAGCCGTTTATGCTGCGGCGCCCGGGGAGCAGTTGGGGGTTCGGTGCCTTGCTCAAGGACACCTCAGTCGTGGTATTGAAGGTGGAAGAGAGCGCTGTACATTCACTCACCCCACCTACAATCCCTGCCGGTACGAGACTCAAACCCACAACCTTTGGGTTACGAGTCCGACTCTAACCATTAGTCCACGAGTTGCTTATTAGCATGCATATCACTAGAATATTAGCCATTTATTAGTAGTAATTAAGCCTTATTCTACATGACCTTATTCTACATCCCTAATCCTACCCAATACCTAAACTTAACAACTACCTCACTAACTATAAATAAGCAGCAAATTAGGAATTTATTGAGGGAAAAGTCGTAGTTAATAGTGAATAAGCGTTCCCTAATCTAAAGTGTTACCGAGATTTCCTGGAGCATCATGAGTTTTACTTCTGTGATGCATATGTGACGTTTCTGTGTGCAGTATGAATGAAACAGACATTATATGTGTTAATAATGGCCAATCCCTAAAAATAATACTTCTCTCAAAAGAAATTTGAAGTAGACATAAATAATAATCCATGTGTACAGAAGTGTTCTGGAGTTTTAATTAAAGTGTACTTTAGTGTTCTGGAGTTTTTATTTATTTATTTATTTTAAATAGCATTTTAAATGGCACAAAAATACTCTGATGTGCCAAGCCATCAGAAAACCTTGGTTAAAAAACAAAGGTATTTATTGAACCGTATTCTAACTGTATTGTTGCATCCCTACTGCTTACTCTAAAATACTGTATAACAGGAACAGCACAG